TTTTTTGAGGCGGGGTCTTTCTTTCATGAGGCTTATTTAGGTTTTGTAGGGAGGAGAGAGATTAGAGAGTAGAATTAGGTTAGTTACTAACACAATTAATAGTATAGTTGCTGAACCATTGTATTTTAGTCTTTTTTTCCTGTATTTTTTATTGGTGCATTATAGTTGTGCATAATGGTGGGATTTATTGTTACATATTTATACAATTACACAGTGTAGCAATAGAATTTGGCCAATATCATTGCCCAGTATTTCCCCATTCTGTAGTTTTCGTCTTAATGTGGACACTCATTTTCTTATTTTTTTTTTAAATTTGGAATGAACTTGGAGCATAATTATTTCTCTAAAGGACTAGTATTAAACTAAGTTATTTTGAAAGAAAATGTGTTGCAATGTTTAGATTCATTTATAAATAAAATACTGTAATAATGGGAGTAAAATGGAATTACTCAAATTGCCAGTAAGATGTGATTTAGTCACTGAGCCTGAAGATAAGAGGCAATAATAAAAATGAGAAAAATGATACCATGTAGGACTTCAGGGAATGTGTTATCTTAGTAAGAAAGCAAACTTCACTGTTTTCTAATTTTTACAGATATGTAAGATGTGTAGTCAGTTGGTTTACTACAGAGTTGACAGTTACTGCTTAAAAAAAAAAAGTATTATTTGCCCTTAATGAGCTCTTCCATAATGGAGGAGGCAAATTTTAAACACCAATTACACAAGCATAAAATTATCACTATGACAAAAGCTACAGAATACTTTTATCAGGGTGATACAGTCCATTGTGGGTAGATTTTGTCAAGGGGATGAAGCCTGAATGAAGAGTTAAGGGGAGAATAGGAATTAATTAGGTGAAGGGGTGAAGAAAAGAATGTTCATTCTCTACAGGTGGCTCATCCTATGAGAATTCAGGAGGGATGTGAGTATGGTTGGAATAGAGCATAAGAGGAATCTTAGTGGGAGAAAAGATTGGAGAAGAAGGTGTAGGGCTCATGGTAAGACATTTTGATGTTTTCCTAAGAGCCAGAGGGAAGTCATGAAGTGGTTTGTTGTGGGAGGGAAGCATCTTGATCAGAGTTGCCTTTTGATATCAACTATGGCAGAAAAGGAGAATGTGTAGAGGAAGGTAAGAGAGAATGTGGGTGAACTAGTTAGGGTGCTGCAGTGGTAAGAGTAGATGGCAGCTAGTACTTGTTTATGACAATGGACTTGGAAGGAAATTTTGAGAAATGTTTAGAGTTAAAATTGCAGATTTTTCTGATGGGTAGAAAAAGGAGGAAATAACCATGCCTTCTGATCTAATCTAATTTAGTTATGTTGCTAGGCAGAGTTTGTTTTATTTTTTTGTCCGCAATGACCCTCCCCACCTCCATCAACATTACCCTGAAAGGGATAGCACTGATAACTAGAAAATTAACAAAAGTATTGCAAGATGGTGGAGTATTTGTTTATTTTGAAGTACTGAGGATTGAATCCAGGACCTTGCATGTGCTAGGCAAGTGTTATACCACTGAGTTATTTCTCACCCTGGAGTTTGTGCTTAAATTTGATTTGTATATCCTAATGATAGTTTTATTTATAATAATGATCCTTGATTATTGATATTTATATCTCCTTGAACATTTTCTAGTGCCGTCATTGAACACACCAATCGTGTCATCTTTCTAGAAGATGATGATGTTGCAGCAGTTGTGGATGGCCGTCTTTCTATCCATCGAATTAAACGTACTGCAGGAGATCATCCTGCTCGAGCTGTGCAAACCCTCCAAATGGAACTCCAGCAGATCATGAAGGGTGAAAGTTTTTGTCATGTTGTAGCTTGGTGTCCTTAAAGAAAGGAGATATTCTATTTCTTGTCCTACCAATGAATCTAATCATATTGCTGAGTGATATCTTCCATATGATTAATGAAGGGACAGTCCCAGGAAAAGAGATGATTCTTTAAAGAAATTATCTGCATTTCTTCCAGTAGTTCTTCAAACTAATTCATGGTTGGTTCTAACATTATGAAAAATAGATTGATTAATAGTGCCTGATATTTTCAAAGATATTTTATATCTCTTCTGTTTTATATGTGTTCTTTTTCTTATTCTTTTTGTATTCTCCCCATGCTTCGGTTTTTTCATATATAAAATGGTTTTCATAGAACCTACCTCATTAAGGTTGTTTTGAGTACTAAGAGAGTTTAATACACTTCAGAATAGTGCCAGACACACTTAGTGAATCCTGAATAATGTTTTGTTGTTGGTAGCTATTGTGATAATTATGGTTTTTATTTTTATTCTCCTTTCTGATTGAATTGTGGGAATAAAAGTCAACATTTATTGCATAACTGCTATATGTCATATTCTTTGCTATATTAATCTGTACCACAATGTACACAATGCAGTAACTGCTGTTCTTATTTTACAGATTAAGGAATTTCCCCAGTTATGATAGTAAAGGATAAAACCATGATTTGAACCTAGACCTAGACTGACTCTAAAAATTAGGCTTATATTATTTCCTTTTTTTTTGCTCTAACTGTATATCCTAGGTATGACGTAAATAAGACTTTTCTTACTTGTTCATTTTTTCTCACATATATACCTTCAGTCCATTAGGCAGTCATGTGTGAATACTGTTTCTATTTAGCAAGATTATGTTAAAGGAGACAGTTGGGTACAAATTTCTTTTTATTGGGCTTATTAATTTTTGTTTTACCTTATATAATTTCTATGACTTAGGCAACTTCAGTTCATTTATGCAAAAGGAAATTTTTGAGCAGCCAGAGTCTGTTGTGAACACGATGAGAGGAAGAGTCAACTTTGATGACTACACTGGTAATGACATAAGCCATTATTGTATTAAAGTCTCGTGTGTGTTGGGAGGGTGCCATTAGTCACCTGACTATTTATTGTCCTTTGTAGCCTTGGGAAACAACTGTGGCCTCCAGCCATCATGGATGGTTAATCCTTTAGTGTATTAAACTACTTATATGAGGTATCTAGAATAGTAAGATTCATAAGGATAAAAAGTAGATTAATGGTTGCCAGGTGCTGGGGAAAGGGTTATTGTTTAAACTGGGTAGAGTTTCAGTTTGGTATGGTGAAAAACTTCTGGAGATGGATGATAGTGATAATTATGCAACAATGACTGTAGTTGGTACTACTTATTTTTTGCTTTAAAATAGTTAAAATGGCAAAGTTTATGTAATGGGAACCTGCTGTGACTGTCAAGGACAGTTCTGGGCACTATCCTTGGCACTGAATTCTAAGAACAATATCTGGTCCACCTTCTGGGAAGCTTACATGTATCTACCCAGGCTAGATTTTCTCTTTCCAGTTATAAATAAATAAAAATGTAAACTTCCCCAGGGATCTCAGTTAATTCTGATGCCATGTGGTCTAACCTGTACATGTTTAAGGTCAGAGTTCAACATCAGTTTTGTTTGTGGAAATTTTCTTTAGACCATGTGTAACAGACACATATGTCTTTGGCCATAGACGATCAGTCTCAAACTCCTCTTATAGATTTGAGTGAATAGGAAAGTGATATCTGATACAGTCTTGTCCTTGAGGTATACTAATAATCTAGGTGTGGGGATGAATATATAATTAATTATTTAAAGTAAGGCAAAATATGATAGTTGACATTAGAAACTCATTTTAGTGTTCAAATGCTTTAAGTTTAATGTTGAATTTAGGGAGGTAGAGAATGAGTCTGTGGAAAGGGGCTTTGGGATCAGGGAAGGCTTCATGAAGTAGGAAGGTGTGGGTTTTCAAGAATTTGGAAGGTTCTATAAGAGAAGATCTGTTGGGGATGTAGATTGTGTAGAAGAGCGTTAGCTAAGGGGAACTAGTGAAAAAAGAATGAGGAAGATATTTATGAAATAGTTTGTAGTCTAGTTTGTCTCCTGGACCTAGTACTTGAAGAGGAGTAAAAAGAAGTCTAGGAATGAAGGGGAGAGGAACTTCTGTGAGGGCCTTGAATGCATTCTAATGTGGGGACTTGCTGGGGTACCTCTTTTTGTAGAAGTTACAGAATTGTCATAGATGAGGAGCCAATGTTGGTGCTCACTATGCTTTCCTGAGGTGGCAGGGTATCACTCTCCACTGTCCCCTGGAGGAGTGAGATGCTGAAATGCAGTTGTCTGTTAGCATATTGTCCTGTCTGGGGTACAGGGAAAGAAAGGAGAGGGAGGTGGGGACCACAAGAGAAATAGGACCTACATTTAGCTGTGTGAAAGAAGAGGTTGTCAAAGATGGTTGAGTTGAAAGAACTGGGAGAGTAGTAGTAAATACCTCTGTGGTACTTATGAAATTAAGATCAGGAAAAAGATTTGTTTTGTAAGGAAAGAAGATAAAATAAACTGTGAGAAGTGTATTGTCCTCTCTACCCCCTGATCCCAGGCCTTGAACATGCTAAGCACATGCTATAACACTGAGCTCTAGCCTCATGGCTTTTAAAAGCTCTATTATCTCTATTAATGTGCATAAAAGTTCTATAATAAAAACAAGATACCTGCAGTCTTAGTTGTTAAAATGAGGAAATCAAGGCCTTGTCAGTTTAAATATCTAGCCAAAGGTTACATTTCTCAGCATTCATGGAGCATTCATGTGTTCAGTGTAGTTCAGTGTAGTTCCCTAATGCTCTGCAACCTCACCCCTGACCACTAGGCCTAGAGCAGGTTCAGGGCGTGACAGCACAGGAGAATGATGCTCATGAGGATGTACATGTTTTCCTCTTCAGCCAGGACCTGAATTGTGTGAGTCTAGAGCTCTGCTAGCCACTCAGGGCCTTGACCAGGATATTCATGTGGTGGGTGCTTAAAGGTATGAGTTGAATAATCAAATGAATGTCAAATGAGAATTTCTCCCAGGTCGAATACTAGTCTGTGTAGAAGGATCTATAGAGAAGACAAATGAAGAACAACACACCAGTAACTATAGAGACAGAAAAAGAAACTTGATTAGAAGGTTTCAAGATCAGATTTATGTTTTTAAAGGATCTCTAAAAGATTATTTTGGCTGTGGGTGGAGGGTAGATTCCAGGAAGTCAAGAATACAAGAGTGAGTCAGGGAAATGTTTTTTTCCAGGGGAAATGGTAGTACTGGGGGATTGCAGTATAGGGACTTTTGAAGGTGGACATAGGGGAGGGTAGGACCAATCAGGATAATGCTGACATGGAGCAGTTAAGTGGTTGGCAGTGGCATTTACTGAGATAGCAAAGGCTGAGAGTAGGTTTATTTTATATACTGAGCACTATTCTGGGCAGAGGGCAGTGGAAATAAACATAATAAAGATAATTTTTTCCAGACAGGTTTATAAAAAGTTAATAAAATTCATCACTCTTAGTATAAAATTCTGGGTTTTTTTTGTTGTTGTTGTTGTTTGGTGCTGGGGATTGAACCCAGGGCCTTATGCATGCAAGGCAAGCACTCTACCAACTGAACTATATCCAAGCCCTAAAATTCTGTTTTTAAATTTTGTTTTGCGATGGAATCTCAAATGCTGCCCAAGTTGGGCTTGAGCTACAGGGCTCTAGTGATCCTCCTGCCTCAGCTTCCTGATAATATTCTGAGTTTTGATAAACCTCTGCAGAAAAGTCATAATCCTGACATCTGTAAAGTCAAGATGTGGAACATTTCTATCACTCCATAAATTTCTGTGTCCTTTATTATCAGCTTCTCCCCACCTCCAGTCTTCAGCTTCTTCCTATCTGTTGTTTATGTCCCTTTGCCTCTAAGATAACATTTAATTCAAAGGGAAAAATGTAAAAATGACTAAACAAAGTAGAATGCTAGTACTGTGATTGCATGCCCTTGGACCAGGGTGGTAGGTATTGTTAGTTACAAGTTTAGAGGAAATTAAGTTATGATCTATTAATTTCATTTTCATAACTATGGAGAACTATGCTCCCTAAAAGGAATATGAATTCTTTGAAACAGCAGTGTTATTTCTCATATTGGCAGTAGACACTTATGAAAGGTCACTTCATGTGGTTCTTTCCTAAATAATTGTGTTCTCAAACTTTTATTTCAGTGAATTTGGGTGGTTTGAAGGATCACATTAAGGAGATACAGAGGTGTCGGCGTTTGATTCTTATTGCTTGTGGAACAAGTTACCATGCTGGTGTAGCAGTAAGTGACCTTTTAAAATTCTCATTATGTTATTTTAGATATAAGATATCTGCAGACCAGCAATGCCTCTACTAACACCATGTAAAACTCTTGTTCAGATGTGTTACTTTTTCATGACAAATATCAGGAAGATTTAGGGGATTTTAAAAGTTGGTCGAATTATTTATCAATGGAAGATTTGCTGTAGACAGACAGGTCTTTAGATATCAGAGGGACTACCTGAAGCTGACTTCATGAAGGACCAAGAGGGATGAGTTTGTTCACCGTTCCAGGCTTGTAGCCTTGGGAGTGTGCCTACTTATATGAGAGCAGTCATTGGGTTTTACTTAGCATTGCTCACTTGCCCCAGACAGGTGACTAGTAATGTGTCTACCGCAGCAGGAGTTTACTCCATTGTCCATTACTGTCAAGAAAGGAAGTCTGCTTTTGGTCAGACTTTGTTCTTTAAATTGATATTTTAGAAGCTAAAGTTCTGTATTAAATATATTTATTAGCTTTCAGTATAGAAATTATAGAATATGATGGTCTTTTAGTCCAGTAAATCAGATTTACATGTAGATTCTTCATAAATGAGACAGATTATGTACTGCTTATCTAAAGAGGATTTTTACATTCAATTTCTGCTTTTAGGATTGATTCCCCAAATTCATGACATAGTAATTTTTTTAAAAAACATTTTTTTCTTTAGTTATAGATGGACACAGTACATTTACTTTATTTTTATGTGGTGCTGAGGATCAAACCCAATGCCTCACACATGCCAGTCAAGCACTCTACGACTGAGCCACAACCCCAGCCTGACATAGTAATTTTTACTTGCTAGGGCATACATAATTTGTATCTTAAATTAGTGAAACCATCTGATCACCAGCTGTTACATCCCCAAAACCCCCCCAAAATTTATGTGTTCCTAAAAGGAAAGACTATGCAATATTGAAGGGAAGAGGTCTGGAGTGATGAGAAGAGGAATGAGTTAAAAATATTAGTGTAAATTAAAGAAGGGATGGGCTAATTTACTGGTGCTTTAGGTCATCTACTGCTCTCAATTGGGGACAGAAATGATATATTTTTAGAAATTCTTGTATCATCTCTAAGTATGATATATAATGCAAGGTTTTTGTGGATGTCAAGATTACTATAGTTGATGGACAAAATAGTGCCATTTTTCCCCATTAATTTGAAATGTACATGTTTGTTTTTTTGGTGAGTCAAATGTACGTGACACATTTTGTATGAATGCTTTTTATATCCTGTGTATCCTGAACAATAACAACTTACTACACTCAAATCATTCTAAGTACAGCATGCTTTTCAAAATTTTGGTTTTTTTAGTATGTGTATTTTTTATTTTTGAGACAGGGTTGCTCTGAAGAATTTAATTCCAATGTAATACTTATATTGTAAAGTCAGGGAAAAGTTGGATTTACATTTAAAAGGGAAATGTAGCATGTAGCATGTAGCATTTTATTTTTTTTGTAGTTGTTGATACACAGCATGCTTTTATTTTGTTTATTTTTATGTGGTGCTGAGGATCAAACCCAATGCCTCACCAGGATTGAGAACCTAGTGCAAGGGAAGTGCTCTGTCACTGAGCTATAGCCTCAGCCCTCTTTTTTGCTTTATTTTTTAAAATTTAATAAAATTTGTTCTAAGTAGTTGTGCATGACAGTAAAATGCATTTTGACACATCATACATAAATGGAGTATAACTTCTTATTTTGGTTGTACATGATGTAGAGCTACACAGGTCATGTAATCAGATTATGCATATAGGATAATAATGTCCAATTAATTCTATCATTCTTACCCCCATACCCCTTCCCCTCCTTTCACTCCCCTCTGTCTAATCTAAAGTACCTCTATTCTTATATAGGCCCCCACCCTCCCCCCAAGTTGTGAATTAGCATTTGCATGTCAGAGAGAACATTCAGCCTTTGGTTCTTTGGGATTGGTTTATTTTGCTTAGCATAATATCCTCCCGTTCCACATCCATTTACTGGCAAATACCAAAAATTTCATTCTTTTTTTAAGGCTGAGTAATATTCCATTGTGTATATATGCTACAATTTCTTTATCCATTCATCTGTTGAAGGTTCCCTAGCTTAGCTATTGTGAATTGAGCTGCTATAAACATTGATGTGGCTGCATCACTGTAGTATGCTGATTTTTAAGGCCTTTGGATATGAACCTAGGAGTGGAATAACTGGGTCAAATGGTGGATCCATTCCAAGTTTTCTAAGGAATCTCCATACTGCTTTCCAGAGTGTTTGCAACAATTTGTAGTCCTACCAGCAATGTATGAGTGTATCTTTTCCCCCACATCCTCACCAACACTTATTATTGCTTGTATTCTTGATAATTGCCATTCTAACAGGAGTGAGATGAAATCTTAGTTTTGATATACATTTCTCTAATTGCTAGAGATGTTGAACATTTTTTCATATATTTGTTGATCCATTGTGTATCTTCTGGGAAGTATCTGCTCATTTCTCTAGCCCATTTATTGATTGGGTTATTTGATTTTTTTGGTGTTAAGTTTTTAAAAATTCTTTATATATCCTAGAGATTAGTGCTCTATTTGAAGCGTATGTAGTAAAGATTTTCTCCCATTCTGTTGACTTGCTCTTCTCGTTATTGTTTCCTTTGCTATGAAGAAGCTTTTTAGTTTGAATCCATCCCATTTATTGATTCCTGATTTTGTTTCTTATGCATTAGGAGTCTTGTCAAGGAAGTCAGTTTTCCATATAGATTTCCAGTTTTCCCAGCACCATTTGTTGAAGAGGCTATCTTTTCTCCAATGTATGTTTTTGGCGCCTTTGTCTAGTATGAGATAACTGCATTTATGTGGGTTTGTCTCTGTGTCTTTTATTCTGTACCATTGGTCTACATGTCTATTTTGGTGCCAATACCATGCTGTTTTTGTTACTATAGCTCTATAATGTAGTATAAAGTCTAATATTATAATGCCTCTTGCTTCACTCTTCTTGCTAAGGATTGCTTTGGCTATTCTGGGTCTCTTATTTTTCCAGATGAATTTCATGATTGCTTTTCCTATTTCTATGAGGAATGTCATTGGTATTTTTATTGGAATTGCATTAAAATTGTATAGTGCTTTTGGTAGTATGGTCATTTTGACAATATTAATTCAGGAACAATGTAGATCTTTCCATCTTTTAAGGTCTTCTTTAATTTCCTTCTTTAGTTTTCATTTAGAGGTCTTTCACTTCTTTTGTTAGGTTGATTCCCAAGTATTTTTTTTTCCCCTGAGGCTACTGTAAATGGAGTAGTTTTCCTAATTTCTCTTTCAGAGGATTCATCACTAATGTACAGAAATGCATTTGATTTGTGGGTATTGATTTCATATCCTGTTACTTTGCTGAATTCTTTAGTTCTAGATGTTTTCTGGTGGAATTTTTTGGATCCTCTAAGTGTAGAATCATGTCATTGGCAAACGGTGATAGTTTGAGTTCTTCTTTTCCTATTAGTATCTCTTTAATTTTTTTCATCTGTTTAATCACTCTGGCTAGAGTTTCAAGGATTATGTTGAATAGAAGTGGTGAAAGAGGGCATCCCTGTCTTGTTCCAGTTTTTAGAGGAGATGCTTTCAATTTTTCTCCATTTAAGAGAGAGAGAATTTTTAATATTTATTTATTTATTTTTTTAGTTTTGGCAGACACAACATCTTTGTTTGTATGTGGTGCTGAGGATCGAACCCGGGCCCACACGCATGCTAGGCGAGCGCGCTACTGCTTGAGCCATGTCCGCAGCCCAAGAGATATGTTTCTAATATCCCTAGTTGCTCTAGTGTTTTGAACATGAAGGGGTGCTGTATTTTGTCGAATGCTTTTTCTGCATCTGTTGAGATGATTGTATGATTTTTTTCTTTAAGTCTATTGATGTGATGAATTACATTTATTGATTTTCATATATTGAACCAACCTTGCATCCCTGTTTTTTTTTTGCTGGTGCTGGGAATTGAACCCAGGAACTTGTGCATGCTAGGCAAGTACTGTACCAACGGAGCTATTTCCCCAGCCTGTACTATCTTTTTAATATCGGTTTTTGTATTTGATTTGCTAGAATTTTATTGAGAATTTTTGCATATAATTTCATTAGAAATATTGGTCTGAAGTTTTCTTTCCTTGCTCTGTCTTTGTCTAGTTTTGGCATCAGAGTGAGTTTAGAAGGATTCCCTCTTTTTCTGTTTCATGGAATAATTTGAGTAGTATTGGTATTAGTTCTTCTTTGAAGGTCTTGTACATCTCGGCTGTGAATCTGTCTGGTTCTAAGCTTTTCTTAGTAGGCTTTTTATGACATCTTCTGTTTCATTACTTGAAATTGATCTGTTTTTATATCCTCCTGATTCAGTTTGGGGTAGATCGTATGCCCTAGAAATTTGTCAACGTCTTCAAGATTTTCTGTTTTATTGGAGAGTTAATTTTCAAAATAGTTTCTAATTATCTTCTGTATTTCAGTAAGTATCTGTGTGATATTTTCTTTTTCATCATGAATTTTAGTAATTTGAGTTTCCTCTATCCTTCTTAGCATGGCTAAGGGTTTACCAATTTTATTTATTTTTTCAAAGAACCAGTGTTGTGTGCTGATCACTCAGAAAACACTCTTGGTCTGAATTTTGTCCAAATTTGAGTATCTTTATTTAGTTGGCTGGTGACTGCCCCTCAGCAAGATGCTGTTCAGGGTACAGCGCCCATCTTAATGTAGTCAAGCTTTTTAAAAAAAAAACCACTTTTGCCTTGCGTAGGGGGCGTCTACAATTGCACAGAGTAGGCAAGCTCTGTTGCAAAGCAAGCTCCTTACAGAGCTAAAATTAGGGATTAGCTTGCAAGTGTCTGTAGCAAGGGTTGGGGACTTTTCAGTTAGGGGTGGGGTTGATATTTGTGGTTGGGCAGGGGTTGCAACTATTAAAGTTTCTTATTTAGGTTAACTGCCCACTGTAATCAAGATGATTTCTTTTTAAAATGGAGTTACTTAGGCTAAGT